GAGCCAGAGGGTTAATTGCACCCTCTGGAAAAGCTGGAGTGCTTAGGATAGGATGACGCAAGTTGCTGATGAAGTGTTTGCAGCTCGCACTCCTTGGAAAGAGGCATTTAGGCAGCTGCAGCGGGTTCTGGTGATGACAAATCTTGGAAAGCAGACCTCCTGTTTGATCGTCTGCGAGGGCGAAGCACCCAGACTGGTGGTGACAGGACAAATCACTTGCAGATGACATTATTTAGCCAGCAGACAGTGTTTGTCTGACTCTTACTGATGCTCTTTTGAAGTCGTGGTTGCAGACCCACTCTACCATGTCCCCCCTCCTCCTCCACACATCCAGGGCAGCTCCCGCTCTGCTCATTTGTGGCACACTCAGCTCCCTTCTTGGCAGTGCTGGCTGCTGGACTGAAGAAGCATAACTTGTTGTGAGTGCACAGATAACTTGTCTGAGGCTATGAAAGCAAGTCACTCCCTCTGGGTCCAAGAAGGGATGCAGAGAACCCTGGTCTTTGCATAAGGAAAGGAAATGCAGAAGAAAAGCAAGCAATAAGTGGAAGTTGGATTTGATGCAAAGCCTAGTGAAGTCTGGTGGTGCCTATGGGCTTTGAGCCAAAATCTATGGGATGATACCAGGCATTCCCTGAGGGTACCTGTAATGCTGGAGGAGGAGAGGCACTCGTGGCACCTTGCTTAGGTGTCAGATGCAGAGACCAAGATAAGTGAGAGCCTGGCTGTTTTCTCATGGCTGGCCAGCTTGGGTGGCTGTCTCCAGAGCCAGCACCATGCTAGCCACCTTTGCCCTTTTGGCATGTCCTGGACGTGAGCTGTGGGGTGGCAGCTGTCATGTGTCTGCAGAGCTGGACAACCTTTCAGCAGCTCCAGATTGGGCCCTTGGAGCTGCAATCACATCCAAGGTTTTCTCTCCAGGAAAGCCAAGGCTGGCTCTGGACTTGGGGTGTATTAATTCCTCTTCAGGCAGCTCTGTCGTGCTGTGCCTGGCCTGGAGGGAGGTGTGGAGAGGCAGTGGATGTTCCTTCATGGTTGGTACACATGTTCTGGAGCTGTCAAACCAGCCCACCCTGCTTATCCTAAGGTAGAATGTCCAGTAAGAATGTGATTTTTCCTTCAGGATCATGATTTGTGACTGCTGCCAGCTCTGGGCTGAGCAGATGCTGAGTTAAAGCTAGTGAGGGGATGTATCTTCTTTTCCCTGACTATTCTAACCCACTAACTGGACTTGTAGCTGTGTAGGAAACTTATCCCAGCTCATCAGACACAAACTTTTGTCTGGGTTTCCAGGCACATGAGATACTTTCAAGATGCTTCATTTGAATCCATTGCCTCCACAGTGGCCAAATTCCCTGGAGGTCACCCAAAGTGTGAGACAAATTTAAAATGAACACAATGTGTTTTATCTGTACAAACTGATTTTCTTGATAAAAACATTAGAAGCACAATTTTAAGAGGACAAATTTGAAGAGAGCACAACTTAGATCGTGTTTGGCCCTGATCCTCTGCACTCTTCCAATATCTCATGCAATACAAGAGGTTGGTAATTTAGCACTTTCTCACTACCAGGACAAGCCTGCACTGAGGCTATGATGCCCTGGGTGTGCTGTATGTCTGTTGCAGAAGATGGGTTCATCCTGGACCTCCTCTGCCTCTGTCACCTGACTTTCTCTCAAGGCTTTCTTGGCTGGGTTGTGGATCTTTACAAGCTGCTGCTGCTGCTTGCCCCTCCTTGTCTTGTTTTCCACAACTGGAAGATGCAAAATGCACATGCAAAGAGCCAGGGAGCTCTGCCACATCCCTCTCAAGAGTTTTTGGATGTGTTTGATGTATGCCCCAGTATATCCCTTCTGGTTTGCATGGTGTCCTGTAGGACACTTTTCCTAAGCTGTTACTAAATACTGAGTCATGTAGTGGGAGTGTTTTTCACTTTACTTATGTCTTGTGATATGCACTGTACTTATGTCTTGTGATATTGTGTGGATCATAATTTTTATGTCACCTTCAACCTTCCATACAGGCCCTCAGAAGCCAGACATGACATTCTGGTTTAGATTTTTTTGTTTGTTTTTTAAATATCCCTGCTCCTCAGTGGTATCTTGGCACACTTCTCCTGATACTGTGCATTTCTGGCACTGTTGAGGATGTCCCATTCCTGGAAATGTTCAAGGCCAGGCTGGGACTTGGAGCAGCCTGCTCAAGTGGAAGGTGTCCCTGTCATGGGACAGAGGAGTGGAACAAAATGATCTTTAATGTCCCTTCCAACCAAACCATTCTGTGACTCTATGATTCCTACACCAAGGCGTGAATGACTAGCACAGTTCCTGAATATGCAGCACGTAGACTTAGTGGAGAGGACACACATGGCAACACTGTTCTGGGCTGGCCATATATGTCATGCCTGACACTTCTTAGCATTTTTCCCTTCTGCCTGCAGTGCTCTTGGCTCCTGGTCTCCCATCCTGTTGTATTTGGGTCCAGTAGCTGCAACAGTGACAGGTGGTGCCACTTGAGTCCTTGGTGATGTCCACCCCAAGGGGTGCTGGGGGTTTCACAGCTGCACTTGTGACTGTCTCCTTCATAAACTCTCAGCAAACCTGGCCTTGTTGTGTGAGTGATACAGGGTGGAAGAAGAAGACAGGACAGGGAAGTGTGAGTTCCAAGACCAGCAGGTGCCTGGTGACATGGGCATCTCTGCCCCAGGTAGGGGTGGTTCTCACATGGATTTAGCTTGCAATGCTGCCTTGGGGATGGTGTGTCCCCACAGCCCCGCCATCCCTCCTTTTCCTGGCAGCATCAGGCTCCACACAACTGCTCTTGCATTATCTCTTCTCCCTCAAGGAGCTCCCATGGTGTCCTTAACTGTCTTTACTTTTCTCTCCTCATACATTCCTCCCGCCCTTCCCGCCATCCTCTCCGTGGTGTCTCCATCACTCCCGCCATCACTCGCTGTCCATCGCCCCCCTGGCATCTCCCCTTGCCCGCCCTCGCTGCAGGAAGGCTGGCCTCATCCTCTCTCAGCTGGGGGACCTCAGCAGCTGGTGCAATGGCCTCCTGCAGGAGCCCAAGATCACCCTGCAGCGCTCATCCCTCAAGTACCTTGCCTGCCGCTACAGCGAGATCAAGCCCTATGGGCTCGACTGGTCGGAGCTCAGCCGGGACCTCAGGAAGACGTGCGAGGAGCAGACGCTGAGTGTCCTTTACAATGACTATGGTGACAAGGACTACTGAGGGTTCTGGGCACCTGCTCTCAGGCTGGCCTTCCCATGGGCTTTTCTGAGGGTTTTACACATGGACCCATGGAGGGGGAGGGTGTCACTGATGTTTCTGGAGGCAAGAATTTGGACTGGGGAGCAAAACCGGCTGCTCTGTGCGGGACTGACTCAGTATTAATTTCTTCTTCAACTTGGCCAAAAGCCTTTCTAGTTAGAAGTCTTGTGGGACCCAGTTTTCTTGGTTTTGTTTTATTCATTTTGCCAAGAGGTTCCTCAGCATTGGTGGAGAAGGCAGACTGGGAGGGCACAGCCCTCTTCTCCTGCCCCATCCCTGCCCTGGCTGTGGGGACTGTCTTCAAAGGTGAGGGACACCAGTCATGGGAGAAACATGGTGACACAGCCAGGATGGGAGAGCAGGTGTTGCAGGCGAAACGGAGGCAGGGCATGCAGGTCAGGTTGAGATGCTTACGGTTATGGCTGAGCTGATCAGCCACTGGGTGGCCAGCAGGGTTGGGATGGGGCTTTTTGCAGTTGTAAAGCATGAGGTCTGGGTGAGACCCGGGTGAGCAGTGGTGCCGTTAATGGGCAGAGCTGGCGTGGTGTCATTAGCTGGGGCAAAGAGGCAGGGGCATTATGACCCCAGCTCCTCAGGTTCTTCTGCCATGGTCAAAACCCACACATGCTCCAAGATGCAGAGTCCTCCAGAACAAAAGCAGCTTGGCCTCAGGGCCAATGGTCAGCTGGACATCGTGAGCTTTCTTCTTGAGGGACCACATTCCTAGGAAGCCAACTGTAAAATCCTTCCTACTACCTTTATTTATTTATTTTTTACCCACCATAACAAACTTAGAAGGAACATCAAGCTGCTGCTGAGGAGAGCCCAGCTAGAGAGCAGCAGCCAGGTGGCACAGACAAGATGTTCTGCACCAGACACTTGTAGCTGTGGTACAACCCAGGCTCTGTGTGGTGAGGGGAGAGGGATGCAAGGTACCCCAATGCCATGGTGCAGGATGGTCCTGAAGGTTCTAGTCCCAGAGAGGGCATGGAGGACAGGCTTCTGGGGGTGTTACTTGCCCATGTTCAGGCTCACATCTGCCTCTTCCTCTGGTAACTTTTTTTTCTTTCAAAGCCAGAGAGCTGGGGTTGTACTGGGACACTGGGTTTGGTTCGGAGCAAACGAGTCTCCAAATCACTGTCACTGCTGATGATGTTTGAGGCAGAAAACAGGTTCCTTTTAGCTTCAGCTTCCTGCCTGGTTTGCAGAGGAGGCAGCTCTGAACTTGCCAGCTGCACACCTTTGATCTGGACAAGACCGGAGCCCTACAGTGGGATTTTTACCATGCCTCCAGAGAGAAATTTCCTTTTCATTTTTTTCAGTCTTGGCAGGAACAGTCTTCAGCCTGTCTCATACCATTTTCTGCCTCATTCCTCCTCCTACCTGCCAAGGACATGGCTTGAATATTTGTGTGGTGCTGAGAGGGAGGGGGCTGTGCTCTGCACCCCGTCACTGCCGACAGCCCTGCATCACTGTATTTTCTCAACAGCAGTTCAGTATCTTCCTTCAGGACCACAGTTCTTTGCTCTTTCCTTCTCATGGGCAGACATCTCTCCAGGGGCAGCTGACCTGGACTGGGGAGCTGCTGGGAGCAGCCACCAGCAGTCAGCATGACCTGGGCATCCCCATGTCATTGCTGTAGTGAGGGTGTCTAGCAGGGGCCATCAGACAAAGGTTTGCTCTGTGCAAGAAAAAAGTCTCCTGGATCTTTTTAGCTTTTTCTCATGTGTTTGTCCCTGTATTTTGATGTGCCTGATGCTGCCAAGGGCTTAGGGCTCAGAGTGAGACCAGTGCCACCTCCATGCACAGGTATATATGGGCAGGTGATCTGTACTGAGTCATCAATCCTTTTCCTTTCAGCAAGACTCTTGGCCACTTCTGTTTATCCTTTTGCTTATCCCAGCTGATGCTGAGACAACTTTTAACTTCCAGCTGGGCAGCCATCCAGCCATGGGCAAAGGGCACCACTGCTCAAGCCTCAAAGGGATGTTTGAATGAAGGCTGCTCTGGCCCAGACACCAGTTGGTTTCTCGCCAAGTAATACCGTGTACATGGCCTTTATGTGAAATGCAGACTGTTTTCTTTTGGGTAGCAGACTCCTCTCTTTTATTACTTACTAGGTGCAGCAGCAAGGACAGGAGCAGTGCTGTCAGCCAGCCACTCACTGTGATGCTGCCAGGAAAACCTTGGGCACACCATGCATTCACACCTGTCTAGGTTACTTTTTCATCTGGCCCCAAGATTTACACTGAGGCTCTGCAGATATTTCTGTTCTGCTTCTGTGCTGACACTTCAAAGCCCTTGCACGGGCAACCAAAGCCCTGCAGCATCATCACCCAGCTGGGCTGGACTGTGCTCCCCAAGTCCTGGCTTCTCCATGGGCTGGGCTTTGGAGAGTGAGGGGAATCCCACCCCTCCAAAGTCCTTTGGCAGCACCCTTGCACAGCTGGATGGGGCTCAGCATCCTCAGCCTGTGACAGACTGTGCAGGCTGCTGGCAGGACTGTGCTCTGCTGATTTGCCTGCCATGGTGTCCCTGCAGCTGCTGTGCTGGCAGGGCCTGCCAACGTGGCACACCATTTTCATGGTGACCCTGGCTTTGTGAGGGCTCCCTTCTTGGCTTCCTCACTCTCGATTTGCAAGTCAGAACCTTGCCCAAGCTTGGATTTTCTTGCCCAAGTCTCTCAGCTACCACACAAGTCCATGTCAGACAAATGCCAGCAGCCACCACGGAGGACCAGACCAATCCCCCATGGGGCCTGCACCTTGGCCGTAGACCTGGCCTTGGTGAAAAGTCTTGTGTGGGGCTTGCTCACCCAAAATAGGTGTCCCCTGGTCTAGTGGAAGCAGCAGGGTTGGTACCAGAAGATCATTAAGGTCCCTTCCAACCTAAACCATTCTATGTCTCTGTGATTCCCTGCAGAGCTGACACCATCCACATCTGTTGCAGGGTCTACACAATATTTTCTCTCTTGGACTCCCGATTCTTCCCAAGCTGCCAGCAACATGAAAACTGGACAAGAACTGTTTTCCAACCATTTGTGCAACCCCCTTGCCCTTTCTTTTTGTTTTATTTCTGAATTAACGAGCAATCATTCACCTGAGATGAACCTCTGGGTCGTTAACTTTTCTTTGCTGCGTCTGTACCCCTGTAATAGCATTACTACCTTTTCCTTGTCGTGGAGTTATTTAACATATAAAGACAGTTTGGTCCTTTTCTTTACAAAGATGGCTACAATTCATGTTCCTTGATGTTCTATTAAAACTCTAATGTGACGTTTTACTACTGTAGATTGAAAGTAGGGTGCTTTAGGGTGAGACAGCCATGTGGCAAGAAATACAAAACCCTTCTGGATTACTTAAAAAAAAAATAAAATAAAAAAGGTTTTAAACAACAGCAACAAAAAATCATTGTAACACTATGTAAAACTCCAGATGATAATTTAACCGACTATTAAACGGAGCTGTTAGTAATCTCTGGCTCTGGCAAACTGGAGTGTTTGTTTATGGTTTTGGTCCAGTTGATGTCATCTTTGGTTGCAGATAAAACACTCCCAGCCTTTGAACTCGGGTGAGTCTTCACACAAGTTTAGCATTAGCCTGTCTGCCCAATGGGTTAGCCAAGTCCCAAACCACTCAGCACACGCAGATGAAGCCGTGTCCTGCGCCTCGTCTTGCCCACCTGCTCTGCAGGACGTGGAAAGGTAAAGATGTCTCCAGTCACCTTTGGGGGAAAAACTTGCATTTTTACACATCCTCGGCAAGGGTCTCTCAGTTCTTGATTTGCAAACCTCCACTGGCTGGGAACTTGGAAGCAGACTCCAAAAAGGCTTCTTTTAGCCATTTTTTTAGTATATAAGGTGGATGGGATGGTGCTGTCTGGTGGTCAAGCACCCCTGGAGAATGTCCTGGTCCATCTGGTAGACTTTTGACGGAGGACTAGCAGCAACATGAGTATTAATATCCCACAAAGAATGTGAAAACCAGTGCCTGAACAGAGGTGAGATCTGCAAAAGATGCCAAAAGCCACTTAAGAGTGCTGTGCTGTGTCTAATGGTCAGGCCATCAGGATTTACAAGGGCAGGTCCCTTGGCCAGCGTGTATTGCCACCTGCCCTGCCAGATGGGTGGAAGACCCAGGGGGAGCCTGGGCAGGCAGACAGGCAGACAGACAGGACACTTGGGAGGATGCAAGAGGGATTTTGGGGCTATAGCACATGAATCCATAGGAAACCAGACTTCATCAAGTCTCATGGAACAACTTGATTTTTTTTTTCTTTTCTCGGTGCTAAATTGCAGGAAAAAGAGCTAAAAATATACCAAATACTTTCCTTCTGCTGTTTTCCATGCAGTTAACCACCATCTCATTGCACAATAAGCTGTGGCTATGGAGTGAGATGGAGGAGGAAGAGGAGGAGGAAGAGGAGAAGGTCTGTGTGGAGCAGGGTGTGTAGCTGCAAGCCTAAACTGCTGTGTAAATATCTCAGCACAGCTAGCTCATCACAAAATCTTCTTAGGGGTTATCTGGCTTGCAATCCATGGGGGTTTGGAGAAAGCCATCCCAAAAAAGGTTGCAGTGGACTGCAAGGGATGTGTCACCAGCACATGGGAAGATTTTTAGGAAATGTGTGTGTGTTGGAAGGATTGGTGTTGGCTTCTCTCCAGAGTGCACAATTTGGGGAGCTTTTCCCTAGAGAGGACATTTAATGTTACTGGGAGATGCTGTTCCTCCTCTGGAACTGAGTCCCACACATGAAGAAAAGACCCATGAGGAGCTTCAGAGATGGCTGGAGGATGAAGAGTGAGGTTTAAACACAGGGCAAGGGCTTTTTGGTGTTTCTCAGTCCATAAGTACAAAATTTACTCAGTCACTTTAAAAAACAATGGAAAAAAAAATCCTCAAATCTTAAAGCAACTTTATTCTCTTGGGTTTTAAATTTCTTGCCAGGATACCATGTGGTCCTCTGGCTCTAGTGTGGGCCACCTTCTGCTCCCCCCAGGGAGGTGGAGTGTGAACATACACAGACACACACACACACACACACACATTTCCCTACATTTTAAATGGATTAATTACAAAAAGTGACCAGTCTTAGACCAGTTTGTAGCATAACCAGGAGAAGACCTTCTGCAGAAGTGTTCTTGCAGCTGGTGGGACAGCAAAAGCTGCCTGGGTGGCAGCCTTGATTTAGGGGGTGGCATTAGAGATGAGTGTCCCTCCACACCCCAAAGGAAATATCCAACTGGGCTGTGACTGTTCTGGGAGAGTCTGTGGTTTGGGAAGAAGAGAATATGTCAGAACAAAGGTGTCAGGACAAGCAAACCACCTCCCTGGCTCCCTTTTGGGGGAATCAAGGAGGCAAGAGAGATGGAGGATGAGAAGATTATTTATTTTTCATAGATTTTTATAAAAAATAATTATCAAATACAAAAAAATAAAAATAGCAGCAGCCTCCGTTGTGAATAAAACCCTAAAGGGGACAAAAACCGCTCAGTGTCGCTATAGAAGAACAATATTTCGGTATGTAGAAGCTGTCTGGTCATGAGAAGCACAAATGTCTACCAGCCAAGCCAGCACTTCCCATCCCAGCCCTCCTCCTGTTCCCCTTTCCATGGGGCATAGTCCCTTCCCTGCACACACAGATGAGCAGAGAAAAAAACCCAGGATTTTCATGCCAAAAGGATACAAATTTGGCATATAAACACATGGGCATCCAGGTAACGCTGACACCAGGCAGGGAAGGGTTTGTCATGACAAGATGCTGGAACTTGAAATTCTGCTTCTGTGTGTTGTGTTCATCCCACATCCCCACTGCCCCCAGCTGTTGGGGGCTGCCAGAACCCCACTCCTACTGTGATGGGGCCCCTGGATCTCTCATTTCCTGCACTGGTGGAGCAGGACAGGCTGCCTGAGTTGCACATCCTGGGGGTGTTGGGCCAACTATTACTTGAATTTCCTTGGGTTGCTTGAGGGTTGTTTTTTTTTATTGAAAAGTTGATATCTGACAAAATATTGCTGCTATCTGCCTGACTGACAGTGAATTTTGGGGTGGGGTCAACCTGTGCATGATGAGAACAAAAATGTCAGTGTCCCAAGAGGAGATGGGGCTCATTGTCCCCCACCTCTTCAAATCTCTGTCTAGGCCAGGTGGATGGGGACACTTGGGGTCAGGAAAGGGCTTGGAGAAGGACAAGGCATCTCCTGCCTGGATGCTGGTGGGACATCCCAGCACCTCTGCCCCTACTCAAGTCCTCCAGTAAAACACAACCGTAGGAAATTCCTGACAAAATAGGATGGGGTAGAGCTAGTGGAAGCCTTGAAAATTCCTGGTCTCTCCACACCGTGTCACCCTCTCTCCACCACTGGAAGCCTGTATCCAACAGCACAGGCTGTGCAGGCAGGACACAGGCAGGCAGGCTGGAGTCCTTTGCTCCCAGCCTGCAGCTCACCCGGGCTCCCTGCAATGAGTTCCTATTCTGTGGTCCCTTCTCTGCTCTCCTCTCCTCTATCCCTTTTCTCTGCCTCTTTACAGCACAAAACCATTAGTGATAATCCCAGCTGGAGCCAGGCACCTTCCCCATTGCTGCCTTTATGTGGCTGGGTCCTAGCTGAGCTTCTGGGAATCAATTATTGGGGGCAGAGGTTCTTGCTGGGCTTCTCTGAGGCCAGAATTGAATCTGCAGATTTTCACTTAGTGCCTACAGGAGCAAGAGCCTCTTGGAAATCAGCAGCTGTATGTCCAGCATGAGGGGCTGGGACAGAGATAGTAATACTACTGATACTAAGGAAAATGTCAATGAGAAAAGATGATTCTCAAAGTCTCCTGACAGGTGTTTTTTGGTCCCTTTGGCATTACAGGGTCTAGTCTCCTCTGAGAGCTTCTGACAACACAACTCATTTGGAGCTCAGATGTGGGGGAAAGAGAAGAAGGACCACCTCAGCATCCTTCATTCCAGCATCACACAGCAACACTGGTTTGGCCTCTACATCCAGCTGGGTGTGCAGTGGCTGGGGAAGTGAGACAGAGGGGGAGCATGCTGAGTCTTTGCTCCTGTTGACCATGCAGTGATCCCCATGGACACATGCCCAGAGGGCTCTAAAATAATGTGTGATGGATGCCTGTGGTGCCCTTGGAATCTGTTGTGCTCACTGGGATGATTCAAGAGCACAATAACATTTTTTCTCAACCCCACAATCCTGATCCTGATCCACACCCTAAGCAGAACAAGGCAAAGCACTGGCAAATACCAAGGGCAAAACTTGGTCCCTGCAAGATGCCCTAATCACCTCGAGGTGAGAGCATCCACTCCTGGGGAGCTCTCTCCTGGCATGGCCTGGATGTTTGGCTTCTCTTGCTCTCCTCCTTGCAGCTCCTTCTCAGCAAGGAAGGGGAAAATCCCTGCTCCTCCTGCCCTGACCTGCACTTTTCTCAATGGTTTGTACTTCACAGCAGCATGGGTGTGTGATAAAGGATATCCTTTCTCAGCTTCATCAAGAGCAAAGAAAATATAATATATATTTATATATATATATTACATATATGTATATAGATATAATTAAGTTTAAATATTTGCAGAGAGATCACAACTACCTCGACCTTGCTAAAAGAAGTCTGTACAGCAGAGAGGGGTGCATAGTGACAAAATCCAGAGCAAAGACAGACACCCAGGAGCCGGACCAGGACAAACATCCGTGGCAGCACCTGGGCTCTCGGCGTGGATGGACCCTAGCCCAGCGTGTGGCTGAGGCGGCACCAGACCCCTGGCTGAGCGCCTCGTGTGGGTTCTGGAGGGAGCAGCGATGGGGACGGGACCACATTCCTGCCCTCCTGGGCTCCTCGGTGGCCCGGACCCAACCCCTCCGTGCGCGGTCGCCATCCCCCTGCCCGGGCTCTCCCTCAGGCTCCTGCCCCCTTGCCCCTGCCATTCCCACGGCCCCACTGCTGCCCCTTGGCTCCTCCGGCGCTGCCTGACCCAGAGAGGCCCCTCGTGGTGCCGCTACTGGTTCTCCTCAGCCGCCGGGTCGCGGCACGTGCACTCGTCCTGGTCGCAGTCAGCAGCAAATGGGATCACCTGGGGGAACAAAGGGACATCTCAGCCTCCACCCTGGGACACCCCTATGCCCCCACAAGGCTTCTCCACCCTGCTATGGACAAACAGGTATTTTGGGCTGGGCCCTGTTGTTGGCACTGCCAGGCTCTGTGCTCACTGAGGAGTGGGCTCTGATACAACCTGTCCCCAGCTGAGTTTTGTTCTTAGCCTTTTCCTTTTTAGTAGCAGCCAAAGGTCGGGTTGAATCTTGTGCCCCAAATGTCAAACTCTGGCAAGAAGTGTCCCCTGATGGGTGTAAGACATTCAGACTAGGGCTGGCACTGGTGAGGCACCTCTAGATTTAAGTTTTACTTTGGTCCCTGTTAGAAGACCCCCTTCATCCATGTCTGAACCTATGGACCTGTCAGCTACTCCTGACTCTTCCAGCAAAGCATGAGGATAATATAGCCTCATCTTCTGCAGCAATTTGGGGAACTCAGCCAAGCTCTCAACTGCAAAGCTGACCTCCACACTGCCCGACATAAAAGCCAGGGTAGGTGCATTGTTCTTGTGTGCTGTGGACTAAGGAAAGACAGGCAGGATGGAGGCTCACTGAGCAGGAACAGCCTCCCATGGGGCAGGCAGTGGGTTCCACTCATAAGTTGTGCAGCTTTGAGACACCCTGTGCAGGTTGGGAGGCTCAGTGCACATTCTCTACAACAACTACATGTGACCGAGCAAGCTTGTGTCCCCTTCTCTGGTGGTAACACAGAAAGGACAGAGGGCATACACTGAGCATCTGACTCCTGGTTGACAGTGGCCTGGTAATGAGCCATGGGAGCTGAGAAAAGAGTTTCCTTCAGAGATTTTATACACACCAGGCTCAGAGCCAGGAGTTTTTCTTTCTGTGGAAACACATTTGATTTTTCACAGACTGGATCAGCAAAGGAAGGGCTGGAGTGCTTTGGGGATTTTTTTGATGTTTAAACCCTGTATTTCTCCATCTGTCTTAAAAGGGAGGTGCTGGAAGCATGTTGAGCGGAAGATCTGGAACCTGTGGGGGATGAAAGCTGTGTCTGTGTCTCCTGAGAGCCATGGGACTGAACCCCACCACTTTCCACTGTGTACCCATCCTTTATTTTGGCCATGTCTTGCTCTGAGATGTCATTATATTGTTGTGGGGATTTCACTCGTCACTTGGGTGTAAAGCCTCCTCTTTCCTATCTCAAGTGGATCTTCCCAGGATTTTATTTTTCCTTTTCTCTGTGTATGTATGCGTGATGAAAGGAGAAATGATTCAAGCTCCACAACAAAGATGAGAAGATCCAAATTCACATATTTTCGCAGTGAGAAATTATTTCATGCCCTGTGATTTGTTTTGCTGTTGGATATGATTAGGAAGAATGGGCTGTGAGTGCTGGATAGCAAGTTAGGTGGGAGGGAAGGTTGTGATGGGAGACAAAAAGGGGTCTGTGCAACCCCAACGCCAAGTTACTCCCTCTATGCTATTCTTCCCTCCTCAGAGAGGGAGGAAAACACCACTTGTAGCAGATGCCAGTGGACCATACCAAAAATCCCCTGAGACAGCTCAATTACACAAGGTGACTTCTGACTCACCATGTCTAGCACTATGTCCTATGGAAGTCATTTCTTTGGGACACATTTCCCAATACGAGAGGAAATCCCATGAACCTCAGTGGGAGCTGGGCTGAGGTTTCAATCACACTGGCCTGAGTCCAAACCCCGCTCTTAATCAGTGCGATGATGTCCGTCAGCTTCAGCTGGCTTTGGTTTAAAATCGCGCGTTTGTTCTCCGTTCATGGGAGAATTACACTGCAGGCTCAGTTCCACAGCCAGCAAAGCCAAAGAACATAGATAGCAGTCACCCCTGAATCCATAGATCCTGGCCAAGGCCATGGGAGGTGCTGCCTTACCTTTCTGGAGGACAGTGTGGAGGAGCAGCAGTCCCCGCCGTCATACTGGCAGTATGCCCGGTTGTTGATGGTGTCACACCAGCCATCTGCTTGGAAGGGCTAAGGCAGAGCAACGAGGTTTTGTCAAAGGTTGTTCAAAAGCATAAGGTTGCCCCCAAAAGTAGAGGCCCCAGGTCTTCAGCAAGGCCCCTGTACCCACTTCCACCATACACAAGCCCCTCTTCAAAGCCAAAGGGCACCAGATATCCCAGCTGCTGTGGATGGAGCAGTGGGTGTTCCAAGGGCAGCAGCTAGAGGATCGTGGAATTGTGTCAGAAATGTTAAATGGCATGAGCAGCCATTCAAAAAACCAGTTTATTGTTGTTCACTTACATGAGTCATCTGATCAAAGAAGCAACTGGGGCTGAGAAGCAGCCAGTGATGGCTGAGAATCTCTCCCGTGCAATGGCTGTGACCAGCGACGTGCATGGGAAGCACTCGCAAGGAGGCGTCAGGAGCGGTCGGCAGCCAAGGTTTATTTATCACAGATCTACACCAGCACTGCCAAGCAGCCACTGAACGAGCTACAGGATGGAGAAGCCATTCGTTCCTAGAGTGATTAGTAACAAAATGCTTCTTTCACTTCGGGCTCTGTGATGGTACTTACTGGCCCAGCAACCATGGCTGACCTCCAGGAGGACGTTTTCCAGCAGAATCGTGGAATCATGGAATGGTTTTGATTGGAAGGGGCCTTAAAGACCATCTTGTTCCAACATCCCTGCCATGGGCAGGGACATCTTCCACTAGACCAGGTATCCAAGCCCTGTCCAATCTGGTCCTGAACATTTCCAAGACTGGGGCAGCCACAGTTTTTCTGGACAACCTGTGCTTCTGTCCCACCACCCTTAGAATCAAAAGTTTGCTCCTAATATCTAGTCTAAACCCACCCTATCTCAGTTTAAAACCACTACCCTTTATCCTGTCACTCCATGTCCTTGCCAAAAGCCCCTCCCTGACCCTTGTGTAGCCTCTTTTAGTCCTGGAAAGTGCTTTAAGGTGTCCACAGAGTCTTCTCCAGACTGAACAGGACTCTTGCTAGAACCCTGGCTATCCCATTGCTCATGGAAGCAGCTGACTCATTTCATTGGGTCTGGTTGGCCCCAAACAACAACTGAACTCCCCAAAATTCCCAGACTCAGCCTTTGATGATGGACACTCACATGTAGCACCCTTAAACTGAACGAGAGCCCGCTGAAAAATGTCACTGCACCACAATAGCGCTGCACCCACTGTGCCAAAACCAACATGAAGGCCTGGTGATAATACCAGTAATTCACATGAAAAAACCATGCCAAAACCAGAGAACCCATGTGGCTTTTTGTCCTTGTGACTCACAAGGAACAGAAATGGGCTCAACACAGGCTAATAACGCTTTAGGAAGTAGCAGCAGGGATTATGGCAAACCACCAGTTCTGGTCTCCACTATCAGTAGCACAGGCCACAGGCCAAATTCAGGCAGGCACAAAAAGATCACATTAGCCTGGAAGATTTTGGAAGAACAGAAGAAAGAGCACACCTTTCCTACAGCTGGGAAATTGAGGCACAGCCGAATTAGGTAGCTCACTCAAAAAACCAGAAGGGATTTGACTCCAGTCGTTGCTGTCACAAACTTCATCCAGAGGAGACCAGGGTGCAATTTCTTCAAGGCAACAGTGTTAACACTCCTCTTCCACCAAAAAAGCATCAGGTGGGTCTTAAATGATTGTGGTCAAAGGTTTCTCAGTCTCAAAGCTTTGAGCACCGGGAGGGCCAGGGCAGGGATGCTGGGGCTGGCAGGTACCAGGATGCCATCGGGACTGGCCAGGGACACTGGCAGGGGAAGGCTCTTCTGGGTGTGATTTGCTTTTGCAGCCTTCCACGCGGTGGAGTTTTTCCTTGAGCTTTGCTCCATATGTCATGACTCACTGGCAAAACAACACCCGTCGCTTTGGTAGTTTCCATACAATTATGGGGATGTTTGCCCGTCCTGGCTGCACAGGTCTGAAACGATTTCCAGATCTTGCATGCAAGGTGGGGGGAGGACGGAGGCAGGGACAGGATGGGGAAGGAGAGGCTCCCAGTCTCTCACTACACCTATCAGGGCTAAATGCCCCCTCCTCTCACCCAGCCGGAGCCCGTACCCCACCCTAAACAAATACAGGCTCCTATGGCAACACTTGTTGGGGAAACTTAACAACTCATGCTCCAAATTACATTGGAAAAACATATGAAGGGAAAATAAAAAATGACTAATTGGACTCAAGGCTTAGGAGAGCCAGGCACAAGGTTTGGGGATTTCTGTCCCTGATCCTTGTCTAGTGTTTGGAGAACACAGTGACTCCTGTGCCTTTGCCTTACTGGGAGCCTCCACATGGTTTTGCCTGTTGTCAAGCAGAAAGAACAAAGTAAGGTGCTGGTTATCCTCAAGGGCACAGGAGTCCTTGTACTTGTACCAGGCTCATTCTTGCAGGAATCATGGCAAGGTGGGGACACAGGCAATGCAATCTGTCAAGGGTAGGGGATGTGAGAGAGCAGAACCCATACAGACTCAGTTCAGTGCTTGAGATGCGTGGCTCTACAGAAAGCAATGCCAGTGGTGGGAGAAGGCAGTTTGCTCACATCTGTGCCTTGCAAAAACACCTGATGATGTTTTAAGATGCTAGCAAGAAAAAGGAAAACAGCAATGCCCAGCTGTGCCACATGAAGGTTATGGATGTGATCCAGGGAAATGGTCAGCTGGGTCTCAGCTGCCAGAATACGCATCCTCCAGCGTGGAGAGGGGGAGGTGGGTAGTGGGCTGGTTGAAATGTCTCTTATAAACAGGGAAAAACTGAATAAGGGAATTGCAGCAGCCACTCTACGCTGTGTTGAGTGGTGGGGAGCTGCTGGGCCAGGCGGCGTGCCACCGAGGCAGCCAGGGAGACGGGCTGTGTCAGCGGATCTCCCGCTCGGCCATCCATCTTCCTTGTTTGTTCAGACAGGAGCTCCAGTGGGGCGTGTGTCAGCACGTGGAGGTGCAGCATCTGGCACTGCCGGGCCGGAGCCTTGCGCTGCCGGCACAAAAATAGTAACGGCAAATCAAGTGCTTGGCAATTTAAATAGGCTAAAAAAACACAGCCTCTCAAAGCTGGGAGCAGGCACAGATGAAGAGAGAAAAAATTGAAGGGGAAAAAAAAATATGAAAGAGAGAAAAATACTGCAGGCAAAGGAAGGATGCGAGAAAGGACGGGTTAGATCCCAGTGCATCCCAGACAGAATCATCTCCGAGTGCTCAAATGGTGCAGTCTCTCTCAAGGATGCTGGGAGATGTCACCCAGGGAGCAGTGCCTGTGCACAGTATTTTTCCACAACCCTTGAGGAGTCCCCAGGCTGGCTCCATCCCTGGGGCTGTTGTCCTGCCCAGCAGGGAGTCCCCAGTGCCATCAGTGGGGTGGGCAGGGTCCAGGCATTTTTCTTCAAATCCACCTTACACGTAGCTTGATTCAGTGTGAAAGAGCACAAAAGGGTGCAACAGGTGAGGGAAAGTTGGACTCAGTCACAGATCACATCAGTGTTGGACATATTTCAGTGCTTCACTGCTGGTATTTGATAAATATTATTTTCCAGGAATGCATGTTTTGCTCTGGTTGGGCACACCTGAAGGCCCAGCACCTTGCTTTTGGCCATGCCCCCTTCCAGATGTTTTGGAGGAAGGTGGAAAAAAGAAAAAAAAAATAAATCAGCATTTACCTGGCTAACTGTGTAAATGAGGAGCTGAAAGGCTCCTCTGATCTGCCACTGAAGTGGAAAGTGCTTGTCATTTCTGTCTGCACACAGCCATTGAAAGGCCAGATCCCAGTCTCAGGGAGCCAAGTGCAGCCTTAAAAAGCAAAATGCTTTCTCCCAGACTGGTCCTGGGCTTTGTGACTCTGCTGATCCATCCAAGGAAGGTGCACACTTTGCTTTCATGAAGCTTCTAAGTCAGCATGGATTTTGCTGTCCTTTCATTTATCCCTTTGGGAATTGGTATTCTGGGCATCAAGCTCAGACTGTTTTTATGCTAATCCAACCATGTGGCTGAGAAGATGCAGGTGTTTTTTCCCTCCTCAGCTATCACTTTGAAAGCAGCCCCAGAGAAACAGGGGAACCACCTTTTGGGCAGGGACCAGCCCTGGAAAAGCTGCTGCTGCCCTCAGACTCATGCCTTGTGCATCAGCTTCACCACCAGTAATTCTGCTCCTGGGACAGATGAGTCACTAGTGGTGGGAAGATGAGTTGGAAACCCCATCCCTTTGGTGGCAGGGGGATGTCAGACCAAACCAGGCCTCACAGAACCATGGGACACAAACCTGAGTTGTCCCAGGGCTGGAGAGTGCTACAACTGCAGGGGTCTGCAAGAGAAGCTGTGTCCCAGGTGAAGGTGCTGCCTGTGGCAGGGAGGAACAGACAGGATATGTGGGGAAGAAAAGCATGGACAGGCTGCAGTAGCCCGTGGAGAGGCTGCCTGCCAGATGTCTTCTCTTCCTCCCTACCTCAGTCACTAGCAAGATCTTTCCAAAAGCTCTGGGAGGTCCCTGGGAGGACTTGAAGAGTGCCCAAAGCCTTGTTAAACATCTGGTTCACTTAAAGCCCCAATACATCCACCACCCCACCTTGGGTCCCTGAAAATTCCCCCTCCCATCCCTGTCCCAATCCCTCCAACATCCTTCCAAACCACTGCTCCCCTGCAGAAAACTGTCAGTCCTTGAGGCCAGAGATGTGGCAGGAGCTGGCTGAAGTGATTCTATAGCACCAGATCCCCAGGACAGATCCCTTTCCTTACACACATTCACGCTGGTGAGGCAGAGAGCCCGGCCATTCTTGGCTCTCCCTGCTTGCCCAGGGAAGTTGACTGGGAATGCAGACTGTGGGAGGAAATGACAATGTTCATTGTTTGGATTAAATATTTTTCTTGGCACTCTCTCTGTTGCAGTGTCTTTTATTTTATTTTTTCTCCCCCCCTTGACACCCCAAGCACATTTACTTTCCTTCTCTCCTTTTGGAGGCTCTCTGGCACAAGGAGGTAATCTGCTCTGAAAAACAGAGAGGGACAGAGAGGGAAC